AATAAATAAATGTTGAAAAAAAAAATTAAAAAAAAAAAGAAATATACATGTGATTTGAACTTCACACAAAGGTACCAGGAAGATACGTAACGCTTGTGACCAAAGGGAGTCTAAGGCTCTGGGTCCATCCTGAGCGTCTCAAAAGCTTACTGTGTGTCAAGGCTGGGGGATCTCACCAACGGGGCCTCAGGGGCCATGGTGGGAACCCCAACTCTCCTTGGAAGCCCCCAAACAGCCACGTCCCCTACGCTCAATGGTGATGACCAATATGGCATGCCTAGGCCCCTTGCCTCTCCCCCAGCCTCATTACAACTAAGCACTTGTGGGTGTTCTGATTTTTCTCCCCCGATTCAAGAAAAAAAAAAAAAATAATGTAAAACACAATACAACTCTACTTGGTCCAAAACCCGCTTATTAAAAATCTACTTTTGGAGAGAAGGAGAGTAAGTGGTATGATTCCCCATGGAATGATCTCTGTTATGCCTAATTCTGATGGCTGGAAGAATTAGATGCCTGTTCCTAATTCAAATGGCAGTGTCTCCTGGCCCTGCATTAATAAGGAAGGATAGCAGAGTTTCTCCTCCGAAGCTCTGAGCTACATTTCCCTTCAGTCCCTGATTTCTTCACCCTTTGATTAGATTTTAATCCTCCTTGCCCTTGAACTTCTCCTGCGCTGCCCGCCCTTCCCTGGGCCCTGGTGGGTGGGACCGGAGTCACTCAGCAAGCCTCAATGGATGAGTTCTTCAAGCAGAGGCAGCGCTGTGTGGTCGATGAGTCCCTCCTGGGCTGTGGCCCGGCCTCTCTGGGACTTGGGCAGGCTCATCCTTTTCAGGACGGGGTCTGGGCACAGCCATCCTGCACCCTGCTCAAGGGAGCGAGGGGACACGCTGCTCCAGAGAGAGCTCTGCCCCTCAAAGGACAACGTGCCCACCCTGAGCTGGGGCTCTGAGTCTGTTTGTGCAGACCAGGAGGGCGGGAGGGGCCGTGGAGGAGGACATCCCGGCCCAGAGTCAGAGGACCTGAGTTAGAGTCTCGCACCAGCTGTGCGACCTCAAGCAGGTCCCCGAGCAGCTTCAAGACTCTGTTTTCTTGGCTCTGGAACGACCGGGGAGGAGGGAAATGGAATGGCAAAATCGTAATTGAAAGTGCTTTGCCATCTGCAAGGACTCGTATGAATGTCAAGGAATATTGTGATTCTAAGGGAAAGAGCCCTGGTCTAGGAGGCAACAGACTCTAGCACAGTGCTCAGTGCACAGTAGGTGCTTAACTGACAGAGGAGTAACTTCCTTCCCAGGAAGAGCTGAAGCGGAGAGAGCAGGGCTCACCCTACGCACAAGAAGGACTGAGGCTAGACATAAGAAAGAACTTCCCATCAGGCTGGTGAGACATTGGACTTGGCACTAGGGAAGGGCTGCAGGAGGATCTCTGCCAGGAGAGATTTACGGCCTGTCCTTTGTGTCTTAACATTCCTGCCATATGCATGGAGGGCACCAGTTCGGTCCTGCCCGAGCGGGTTTCTGGCAAACATTTCTAGGGGAGAATCCTTGAGTTTGCGACACCATTCAGCGATTCGAGGATGCCGTACGAGGAGGGCCAGCTGGTGGAATGCGACGTTGCCCAACTCCCTTCTATCAACTACTAGCATCCGGTGGGCTTTTCTATCAGCAGCCTTTTGGGACTCATGGTCAAAACTATTTGGAAGGGAAGAGGTAAGTGGTTGCTTTGGCCACAGCACAACTCAGAGCATCCATGCTAATGTGTGCTGTGAATCTCCATGAGGGGGAAACAGAATGAAGTGTTTATCCAAACGTTTCTCCTTTTCATTTTTTATTTTGGCCACAAAACACTTATCATCTAAAGCAGTGCTGTCTGATAGAGCTCTCTGGGATGCCAGGCATGTTCTGTGGCTGCATTGTCCACAGGTGGCCAATGAGACTGAGGAACTGGATTTTGAGTTTTATTTACCTTCCACGTGGGGGAATTCCAAGACCTCCAAGCCCACTGGGTCCTTGTAATAATTAAAGAAACTATATAGAACGCACACAGGGTTGGGACTGTTACTTTGTTTCTTGGGTAGCACCCAGTAAATCATACATCTGTGTTTATGCAAATAAGGGAATGAATACACATCACGGGGAGGCCGTGGGGTGCAAGTGCCTGGTAAAGAAGGTGTTTTTGACCCTTGACAGGGAAAGGACCTTTGTTTACAGATGCTATAGCGATTCGGGGTAGAGAAAAGACTTAAGCATGCAGAGCAGTCCGGGGAACCCATAAAAAAAAAAAAAAAAGGATGGGAGGTGACAAACCTTTGCCAACAGAGCCCACCCAGCCCTGCAGGGTGAGGCCTACATAGGCGAGGTGCACAGGACACAGATGCCTGGGGCTCGGCGGGCACTGGGCCCTAGGGGCAGGTAGTGGCCAGCACCTGCCTGACCACATGTGGGTACACAGCTGTCACTGGGAGCACACAGATGCACAGATTTGCTGCAAAGTCTGGCTTAAATTAGCTAAATCTCATAAACACTAAATTTATGTTACAAATCGTCTGACAGAGACACCGTATTTCTAAAACCTGCATTTGCAAAAAAATGCTTTATCAGGAATTGCCCTTGGACCTCGTTCCATCAGCAAAACCCGCTCTCCAGGGGAAGAAGCTTTTCAACCCATCAAGTACAAAATGCATCCAATTTTATATTTTCCCTCTCTCTCTCTTTTTTGTAGCTCCTTAACAATGAGGCCGAAAATGTGGGAATTGAGTCTGTGGATGCAAAAAGGCTTGGAGGTTGGCCAGTCTCCCTGTAACCCAGTTCTCTCTGTTCCGCCCATGCCTGGCAAAGGGTGTTCCTGGATTTCTCTCTCTCTCTCTCCCTCCCCGCCACTATATAGACAAACAGCCAAGGACGCATGGGAATCATCCCCGCCATCTGAGGGAGCCCTCCCCAACCTGGCTTACTCCCAGCCAGGGGCAAATCGATCAGGCTGAAATCCACAAGCCAGGACTGTGTGGGGTGAAGCCGGGCTGGGGAAACTTACATTCTGCTTTGGCACAGATGAGGCAGGCGGTGGTGCAGTTGAAGAAGTTCAGGATCCCAGCTACAGCCACGCTGATGTCGGTGTTGCTGGGGTGGAGGTTCAGGGTTGTGAATCTCTGGGACTGGAACTTGATAAATTCCTCTGGGGCCACTTTGAAATGGGGGACCTGGGAGGAGGAGCAAAAGATAGGCAGCAGGGAGGATCCAGGATGAGTGAAAAAGCCAGCAAGCCTGAGTGAGGCGAGGCTGTGGACGGTGGATTCATTCCGTGTAAGAAGAAGGTCTACGGAAGACCTTTGACACACGTCGGTGGAGGTGCAGCTTGCGGGATTCGGGACCCTCACCAGAGGAAGAAGACAAGATGACATCCTTGATGTTGCACTTGACAGTGCTTAAAACAGGACCACCCAGGATGAGAACCCCTTCCCCCGGAGACCCGTATAAACATACTGTGGGCCTTGGAGCTGGGGTCTGTGGCCCTGAGAGGCCAAAACAATAGGTCTTTATTCTCAGAACAACTGCCCACTGCAAGGCAGCCAGACAAAAGGCTCGTGGAGGCGTAATCCTTATGATATTTTATTTGTAGTTAATAAATCAGAGCAGAGACGACAGAAAGAGAAAAACACTGCCCTGGGGACTAAGCAAGGAGCCCCATCAGACCAGCCTGGCCGACAAGTGTATAAACCAGCTCCCAACAAACTTCCTATGTGACAGCCTGGACCGGGTGCCTCCACAGACATACACACAGAGTAGGGAGCGCCTGCCGCAGGCTAAGGAGCCATCCAGAGAGCCTCTGAACAGAGCCAGGTAAATAAAAACCTGCTCTGGCTTCATTAGGACCACGTCAGCTTCTCTCCGCGTCTATTACTGATCTTTCCGGCAGGCACTGCCCCTGCCTGCTGCCTCTCTTCTCCCGGGAAGAGATATTAACAGGCTGTGATGCTGCTTCATTGGCAGCTTAGGCTATTGGGTGGGTAATAGGAAAGTTAAAGCGTAATAAGCTGCCATCCACCTTGATTTGGTTTTGTCACCCTCATCCCTGGTAGCCAGAGCCAGGAGAGCTGAAGGCTACTTGCGTCTATCAGAGATGGACCCAGGAAACCTCAACCCCTGTCTTTCCTTAGGACCCGTGCACTATGGGAGGGCCAAGGTACAGCCAGCATGGTTTGGAATGATGTTAAAGCAAGCGGGACTGGGTGTAGACAGCAGAAAGGACTTCCTGGTGGTGAGTTCACCGGCTCCTAGAGTGGGTTATTCAGAAATGACTGCAGACGTTTTCTTTGCCTGGGCCAGTCCGAAGTCTGGGATAATGTTGAGATGGTGTTTATAGGGGTCTGCTACCTTGTCCTTTTAAGATTCTGGGAGAAGTCAGCCAGAGACCAGAGCTCCTCTGCAACTGGGGGCAGGGGAGAGCGAAGATTTAGCAGAAATAAGGAAACTCCTGAATTCAGCTAGGATTAGCCCTTGAACCACAGAGAGGGCACCCAATATTTTCTAGCAGAGCCTGAAAAATGCACACCTGGAGAAACCCTGGCGAGTTAGGAGACAAGACTCAGAAGAGTGAGGTGGATCTAAGGGGTGTCACAAGGGGTCCTTCTTCCCAGCTTGTATTTTGCATCCCATACAATCTGCCTAAAAAGAACAAATGCACCTTAAAAGGAGAAACCGTTCACAAAGGAGCAAGATGGAGGCCAAGGCCAGGCAGGGGCAGGGTGGCCAGGCTGGCTAGCCGCTTCCTGTGTGGCCACCCAGCCTACACGGTTCCAGCTAACTCACCCCCAACGGAGTGGAACCTTAGAGACACCCTTGAATCCACAGACCCTAGCGATGGATGAGGAAAAATACTCTGGATATTCAAGGAAGTGAAGGACAAATGGGTTTTCCAGGTTATAGACTTGGGTTTGCAGCCAGGTTCTGCTGTGTGATTCGGGGCAAACTACGTAACCTTTCTATGCTCCCTTAGGATGGAGAGAATGATATGTGCCTCTAGGATTTTGGGGAGGATGAAATGAGAGCCTGTGTATGAAGGACACAATGGCCCAGTACCTAACATGTAGTAAGTGTTCCAGTAATGCCTACTTGCTTCCCTTCCTCTTTTCTCCCCAAATCTAGGGGTTCCTGAAAAAGCTCTTGAAACTCTTCTGTGCGGGGGTGAGGCTGGAGGGGCCTCCCCAGGAAGTGGAGTCGGTGGGAAGTCTCCCGCACAGCCCGGCCATCTTGCAGGCGGCTGGAAAGCCAGCCAGCTGCTCTGACGGGCCCAGGCAGGGATGGCCCAGGCCAATCCAGCTGATTCTCTCTCTAGGACAAAGATCAATCCGTAATTGATTTGCAATTGCAAATGCATCCCAGCAAGTCATTGTGGAGGTGTGGGGGGGGGAAGGAGAGGTGAGGCAGAAAGCGACCAGCCACAGGGCTACAGAGAGGGTAGCAGCATTTAAAGGAATGAACTCCTCGGTGAGAACTCCATTTCTTTTCCCTGGAGCGGAGGGGAATCAGTGTGAGGCAGTTCAGCCTCATAAAATATGAAAAGAAATGCATAATCTGAATGGAAAGGAAAGGATGCTCTGGAAGGGACACGACCAGACAAAGGAGGGGTAACCGGCTGGCTGTTCCCTGGGCAGCACAACCTGTCTGGCTGGTCAGTGGCACGGGGGCCAGGGTGGCAGGGTGGGGAACACGGTTATAAATCAGGGTCTCTGCCTCTGGCCTGAAATGCCAAACAGGGTTAAGGGATATGTGTTAGCGGAGGGAAAAAA